GATTCTAGAACGATGTTTTTGGTTCTGGATATTTTTGGACTTATCCGAAAAATTTTCGGAATGTCCGAAAATTCTCTCGTTGACTTTGCTGTTGGTGCTGAACTGGAATTTTTGGACATGTCCGAAAATCTTTCAGAATATCCGAAAATCACAATTATTGTGTATAACAGGCAGAATTTGGGCTTTGGCTATAAATAGCCCCCTCCCCTCACTTGTGAGGGCTGCTGGTCACATTGGATATTTTTGTGCCCTTGGCTTGCTCTTGTTGAGATTCACTTTTGAGCCTTACCTTCTTGTTTCCCCTCTCACCCATGTTCGATTCGGATTTGGTGTGTGTGTGAGAGTTGTGGATTCGAGTTTGTGTGAGTGCTTGTTGCTGACTTCGTGAAGATTTGTGAGCACTTGCATCATCTCCGGGAGTTCAATGCTTCATTTGTTACTCTTGGAGGTTGAGGACTCCTAGGCGGCTAGGTGTCGCTCCCGACCCACCGATCTACATGTGGTTGGCCGGGAGAAGTTTGTGAAGGTCGGATCTCACCTCCGAAAGGGAAGAGATACCCTTAGTGGAAGGAGGAGTGCTTAGTGCAACCTCTTGAGGAAAGGGTTAGCTAAGACCCGGCTCTTAGTGAGCTCCTCAACGGAGAGTAGAATCCCTCAAGGATTCGAACTTTGGGAACAAATTCGTGAGCTTCATCTTTGGTGACTTTACTTCCTCCCTCTCCACTAGCTTTGCTTATTTGAGCCGCTATAGGTCTAGTTGATGTTTGTGCTAGCATATTCTTGTTGTAGGCAACTAGATCTAGGATTTACTTTGCTATTTGTACTGACTCCGAAAATTTTCGGATATATCCAAAAATTTCGGAAATTTCCGAAAATTACTGCTTCCGCCCCTAATTGAATTTTTTGAATTAGCCTATTCACCGCCCCCCCCCCCCTCTAGGCCTAATTGACACTTTCAGCTCTGATGTAATCAATAATCTTTACTCAGGGACAAGTAAATGCTCAATGTGATGGTGTTGTTGACGGTCCTAAAGTACCAATTCCGACCGTCAATTCATGCACAAATGCAAATGAAAGAGAATACTAAACTTAGAGGTAGTGCTTATTACTAACCATTTCCACAAGTCTTGGTGAATATTTGTACGTGGGTGCATTATGGACGAAAATCACCCGCCATACGACAAAATACATATCTAGACAATCAGACGTGAGTACACGGATTGGAGGCCCTACATGTCAATCATAATCGCCTACAATTGAGCCCATCTGAGGTACAACTTGTAGGGGGGCCACTAGGCAGCCTCCCAGCCAAAGGATTGGCTGGGAGGTGGGCCAATGGGGTTGGCCGAACCCAAGGTCTTTTGAACCACCTTTGCCTCTCCTTGCCATCTGCCGACGCGTGGAGCAAGATCTTGAAGCCCCAAAGGTGGTTATGCTTGATTACCGGCAGTTACCGACCTTCCAACCGACTTAAGGAGGCTATAAAAGAAGGAGCTCACTACACTCTAAAATTACACAGCAAGTGGAGTACAACTCACTTACACATTTAGGCTGAGTTCGGGAGTGAGCGTTGGGAACCCTCACTCCCAACATGCAAAACAGAGCGGTGATTAGTGCATAATTTATTAAGTATTATGTAAAATAAACTTGAAAAATGGATTAATATGATTTTTAAAACAACTTTCCTATATATTTTTTTTTTCAAAATGCACACCGTTTAGTAGTTTGGGAAACGTGCACGCCGAAAACGAGAAAGGTGAGTTGGGAAAAGTAGGGGAAGAACACAGTCAAAGGGTGTGTTCGGGAGGAGGGGTTGGGAATCCCTCCTCCCCAGCACGGAAAATGAAGCACGTATTATTGCATGATTAATTAAGTATTAGCTATTTTTTAAAAAAAAAGATTAACATGATTTTTTAAAACAACTTTTATATAGAAAAATTTTGCAAAAACAACACCGTTTAGCAGTTTGAAAAGCGTGCATACGTGCCCCAAATGTCGGACTTCTCTCCGAAGGAGTGCTAGAGATGTCGACATTCTTCCAAGGAGTTCTAGAGGAGTGCCGAAGATGTCAGCTCTCTGTCTCTCTATCTCTTTGATCTTGTACCTCGTTGGATGCTTCTTTTACATAAGTATTTGTGATCTCATTTGGTATTAACTTTTCTTATTTAAGTAAGATATATTCTCATCATTCCAGGTTCATCGCTGTACTTAGAGTACCTTAATCTTATATAAGTGTGACATCGAGATTGGGGTAATAATCAATAGCGTAGACATGGTGTTAAGGCTAGAGTTTACGTTTGTTTGTTGTGTGCTCCACGGGTTGTAGAAGTAGATGGCAGGTGGTAACAGCCATATCCGTCCTTTGTAATTCTCCATGTTCGGTACGTCATCGAGCTGTAGGCCGGAGTCTCCTTGGAAGATCACGAGTAAGCTGGTGTTCGAAACAATTGATAGAGTTTTAACTTAACTTAATTAACCCATAGGAATCCGCTCTTTCCTAAGCATCCCAATTAGTTGTTGTCCTTGGTTGAATCTTGTTCTTAGATTACACGCACATGTTCCCTGTGATTTGATACCCTTGGAATACTCTAAAGTGAAGTGCTACTTCGGTATCCATGTTCTTGCGGATTTATTTATGACTGTAGCAAATACCAACAGCGGGCCACTATTATGTTGTCGCTAGTCATGCATTGTGCACACATTATTAATAGATGAGGGGTCTCGACAAGCCATTGCGTGCAATAGGTGATGACATGCCCTCCCAAGCAATTAGAGCAAGTTTAACAGTAGAGCCAAATATTAGCTATAAGATCATATTAGAGTTAGTATGTATAGTAGATGGGCTCTAACTTTGTATTTATTTTTCTTCTCCTCTCTCTTTCTCATGCATATACATTTAGTGCATTTATTTTAATGTGTGTGAAGAGTTAGCTCTTGGATACCATCAGCTCGCCATTGTTGAAGCCCTTACCACTGCCTAGGATTGGGGACTTGGGGTGTGAGGCCCAGAGAGAGGTTAGGAGATGGGAATCGGTTGAATGGTTGAAACAGACCAGACCGGGTGGTCTTCACGGGTGGCAGGGAAATCTTGTCTTTTCAAAACATTTCTCTTCTTGTATAGGCTAAAAATAATAAAATAATTGACAGAGCATCCTTCAGCAGATTACCATATTTTTTTTAGGATGTACTCAGACCGTTCTATATTTTTGTTATGTCTACATGCAAAAACCACAAATTTTCAATGTGCGGTACCAAATTTTGCCAAACAACCACCCTGGAATGATAATTAACAAGTATGAAGTTTGTTACAATCGTCTCAAACTTATTTGTTATAAAGTTATTGTCAAAGTATGACCATTAATACCATGGAAAATGATTAAAAAGGACAATTATCGTTATATTGGAGGGAATATAAATTTGTTTGTGCAGTTCATTGATACAAATATGAAAAACAAAAATTAAAATGCCCAGTGGATAGACCTCATGAATGATTTTGCTATATGGTTTATATATGGAAAGTGGCGAATAAATATCATGGCTAGTGTAGTGGGCACCTTATCCAAACAATGCATAAAAAGATAGCTTGAACTTGCAGCTAAATTGTTCCTTTATTCCACTTCTTTTTTTTTATTCTCCCAACAGTGGACTACGCATATCTGGGCCACGTTGATTTTTTTTTTCCGAAAATGGCCACGTTGATTCGGTGGTCCAATTTAATGCACTTGCGAGCAACTAATTCCGTTCCATAAAAATAAACCGATATAAAAATAAATCTATTATGGGATATGACTGTCATTTAAATTAAGTTGTGCTAATATGATCCTAATGTTTCCGCTGTCATTTTAATTTATTTCATGCTTACAAGTCAATCAAACTACAGTATATATGTTCAAGTCAAACAACAAAAGAAAGCTAGATCAATCTGTGCACTCATGCACAGCACAGCAGTAGCAAAGCTTCAAACTGACTGTAATATGTAATCACATGATAAAAGTCCATTGAACATCCTACAAACACTTCTAGGCTGTCACATGGTATTCCTATAAATACTCCTAAGTCGTCATATGGCACTATAATAAACCAATGGAACCATTACATTCAACTACTAAATTTATCTCTTTAGGAAAAAAACTTAATGAATTGATTTAACGGGAGCCTCAAGGCCCACCTCGCTTGCTCCCCCGAACATAGGGTGTGTTTAGATCGCGAAAAGAAAATTTTTGGATATCACATCAGACGTTTGACCGGATGTCAGAAGGAGTTTTCGGACACGAATGAAAAAAACTAATTTCATAACTCGCCTGGAAACCGCGAGACGGATTTATTAAGCCTAATTAATTTGTCATTAGCACTTGTGGGTTACTGTAGAACTTTATGGCTAATCATGGACTAATTAGGCTCAAAAGATTCGTCTTGCCATTTCCATGCAAACTGTGTAATTAGTTTTTTAATCAATATTTAATACACCATGCTTGTGTCCAAAGATTAGATTTAGTGTTTTTGAGCAGAATTTTTTGGAAGGCCGTAGTAACGCATGTAGGGGTGAAAAAAAAGCTCGGGCTCGTGAGCTCAGCTTGGGCTTGGCTCGAGCTCAAATGCCAAAGGAGCCAAGCCCATGCCTCCTTTTCAGCTCGTTGCTGAAATGAGCCAAGCCCGAGCTAGCTCGTGAGTCGCTGGTTTGGCTCATGAGCCTAGGCTATCATGTATTTATATGGATGATTTTATTTTATAGTGAAGTTATTATTTGTAATTATGCAATTTATAATTTATAATTTGTAGAATTGAATATATAAACTTATTTTAGTTATACATGTCGACGATTTATTATTGATCATCTACAAATTATATATGAAGAGATGCTTCAATGGGAAGGCTCGCAAGCCTGCTCGATCTGGCTTGAGCCAGGAAACGAGCCGAGCCGAGCTCATGCTTGAGCCTAGTTTATTGCGAGCCATTGCAAGCCAAGCCTCGTTTCCACCCCTGCACGCCCGGCGCCTCAGGTCTCCATGCTCAACCTCTCCCGATCTCTTTCTCTTCCTATTCTTTTATGTTACCAAATTAAAAGCAAGAAAAGCTATAATTTTAGTATTAAGGTGACCATAATTTTAAATGTACATATCTAATTTCTATTCTATCTAAATTGTTCCTGTATTTATAATTAAATTGACAATTTTAGATCCAATGTTTTGCTATACATAAGTAATATGTCATTGTGGTCTTCTTAACGTCTGGTATTCTCGGAGGCATTCGGATGGGCGATTTCTGGTGATCTTCAATGGTGACTCCGGCACCGCCGGGAGGGTGGAATTTCTCTCCCGGGGATGCAATCTGCGATGAAGCTTGGCATTGTTTCCGACCGCCGGTTCATTTCTCCTCTAAGTTCAGCTCGGTTCCTTTCCGGTTAGTGGTGGATCTACCTCGCTCAAATTTTCGTTTAACAACTTCTTCGGTGGCCTTAGCCCTCAGGGCTGTGATTGGTGGTTCGCCTGCTGATCTCTCTGTTTCCCTTCTCAAAGATCGTTCTTTCTCTTTTTTTTGTCTGCTCCAAACAAGTGGGTTTATGGATTTATCGTTTGAGATCTTATACTTGCAATGATTTTGTTCTGCGCTTCTTTCTTTGGAGAAATGGTGGACCAAATTGGTAGTGGGAACTTGATGTTTAGAGTCGTGAACAAGAGAAAGAATGGGTTTTTGTGGCTCCTAAGAAACGTGTTTCTGATTCTTTGAGGCAACCTGGTCGTTCTTATGCTCAAGCTACTCAGCAGCGGGTTATTCCTATGAAGAGTGTTTTTGATAGATTAAAGGAGTCCTTGAAGGTGACTGGCGGTGATACTCCGGCAATCACTGTTCCGGTGACCAAAGTTCCGGAGACTAAGCTGGTGGCTAATCCCAAAATTCAAAATGTTAGAGGTAATCGGGATCAACTTTCTAAGCAAGTTTTAAATTCTAATTTAATTTGTGGGCGTTGCTCAGAGAAGGGTCATTCTTTGTCTGTTTGTGTTGGGCCCTTTCGGTGCCGAATTTGTAAGAGTTCGGGTCATGCTGCCCGTTTCTGTAGCTCAAAGCAATCTCCCTCTGAGGGTAAATTGCCAAAGTCTGTTTCTACCCCCCGCATTAATGCAGTTGCTACGGTCCTAAACTCCCGGGGTAATTGCAATCTTGTTTGGAGACCTAAAAAGCTTGCGCCGGTTATCTCGTAGCCTTCTCGCCTTCTCCAATCTACTGTTGAGAATATTGTTCAAGCCTCCCCAGCCCAAAGTTCCATGCCAATGGCAGACCTCAACCCTAACCCTCATCGTTTCCGCCATCAAGGTCACATTGTGCATTTGGGAGGAAATTTGCGTGTCCCTAGAGTTGATCTCACCATCCCTCAAAGGCCTGTTCGAGTTTTGTGTTGCTTTGGTGGAGCCGCCGGTGTCGGAGCAAGATTGGGATCACCACCGCATGCTAATTCTTCATCACATTCTTGATGAGCGTCTTTTTGAGGTCAGAAATAGCTACCGTCATGCTTCTGCGGTGGGTATGTATCAACTCCATTCTGCTATGCATAGAGATGCCCTGGTCCATAGTGGGCCGTTTGTTTATGATGGAGTGCATTCGGTAACTTTTGTGAAGCATGATCAAGGCCCAAATTGGAGAGCATCTCAATGCCATAGAGAGGGTTGGTTCCTTTTCTTGGATTACCACCTTGACTTTATTGATTGGGACCATCTAAACCTTGCTACGGCTACATTTGGCCAACTTTCTTTTTGGCTTGAAAGGGATCAGATCAAGGGGAGAGTTCTGATAAGGGCTAAGTTAAAGGATAATGATTTTGTGCCTCCAAAAATTGTTTTTGCATGATCCGGTGGGTATGGGCGGAGGAGGAGAATCATGGACAGTTTCCGTGTTTTTGTTGGAAGGGGATTTCATTAACATGGCTCCTGATGAAGATCTGCCCCCTGCGGGCCCCCAACCAAATCCTAATGGTCTAGATGATGATGATGATCCTAATGTGGGCAACATTTGGCAGATGGGGCAGCCTCCTGTTGGTCCAGGTGACTGGGATGATTTGGTCCAACAGCAGCAAGCTGCAGAGGCTGAGGTAGAGGATGCTTGGGGCTAAGACTATCCAATGGGCCAAGTAATGGAGGTAAATCCTGATGGTCTGCTTGCTTTGGTACCTATTGTTTCAGAGGATGCTAGCCCTTCTGTTCCTGCTGTTGCTATGCCTAATAGGGGGAAAAAGGTTCAGGACCCAGTCCAAGACCCGAAGATCCAGGAATTCTTAGCTAACTTGGATAAACTGACTAGAAGTGAATATCCTAGACACCCTTATTTTTATCCAATGTCTGGCCTGAATGAGAAGATTGACCTCTTGTGCAAAGAAAAGGGAACCATGCACCAATTTCTTGCTTCTAGTTCTGTTCCTGCTGCCATAGATGTGGTCAATCCTTTTACTGCTCTTGTTTTGCCCAAAAAGACAATGTTTGATTTTTCTCCCTTAGTGGGTCAAGAGACAAGTGTTTGGGCTCCGGATTCAACAAAGTCTGATGTTGGCCCCCTGGAGGCCTAGACCCAAGCTGCTATGGAAGTACTTGATGTCATGCCCTTGTCTATTCAGCCTCCCTTCAGCCCAGTTTGTGAAGCACCAGCTCTTCCTGTGTTACCTAAGGCTCCAATTAAGAAAAGAGATGTCAAAACTTTGCTTTATAACCCTTACAGGAGGCAGAGTGCAAGGTTGCAGCAGAATAAGGAGGAAGCAGAACTGCAAGTGGATCCCAGAATGGACATTGGCAAGCCAAGGGGTAAATCTGCAAAGAAATTGAAAGAGCTTGCAGGCTTGCAGGTATAGCAAAAATCTTTGATGATAGTAGCATTAAAGAGTCTGATTTTACTAAAAGTGCCTATGATGATATTCATTCTGATTCCTTTCCATCTGATTGTTCTATCTCATTGTTGCAAAAGATGGGAGTGGACATGTGCGGCTTAACTCCTGAGGAGGAAGTTGAATCCAGCATGGGGAGTGAGAGAAGAAAGAAGATGCCCAGGCCTGACATGGAGGAAAAATGATTTTAGTTTTCAGATGTGTTTTAGTAGACCTGTACTTCCCTTTTAATTATCATGTAAGGGTCTGTATTTGGAACTTCCCTTTTAATTATCATGTAAGGGTCTGTATTTGGACAAGAGCTTTTCAGACTTTGTCATATTTTGGTTCAGTTGTATGCACTATAAGGTTATGTTATTTCAGGCTAGTTGTACTAGCTCTGGTTGGTTTCTCTTTCAATCCTGCTTTATTCATGAGTAATTATATAAATCTTGGAATGTGCTTTGCTGGAATATTAGGGGAAAGAATGCAGAGCCAAAATTGCTCTCTTTGAGACAGAAAATTGAGGACTGTGAGTGCCAGGTTTTTTTTGCATTCAGGAGACAAAAAAAGGATCATTTTGATCTCTCAGATATCAGGAAGTTTGCCCCAAAACGTTTTGATTCGTTTGCTTTTGCACCCTCTAGTGGTGCCTCAGGGGCATTTTGGTTGTTTAGTCTTCAAGGGTTTTTGTCGGAGCTGTGGCGGAAATTAATCTGTTCTCTGTGTTTGTTGATTTCAATTTGAGGCATACTGCTCAAACCTGGTCCTTGACTTGTGTTTATGGCCCTTGTGGTGGCCCAGAGAGATCTGATTTTGTTACTTGGTTTAAGAACATTGGCAAAATTTGCTATAGGACATCCAAAAAATGCGTAATTAGCTATGGGACACCGTAAAAACGTGTATTTGCTGTAGGGCATTGCAAAAACCTGGTAATTAGCTGTTGGACACCCACGACATTATTTTATTATTTTTGGAGGAATAGGAGAGAGAAACAGTTGTGTAAATACGGTTATACCCTTCGATTTTTTTTCTTTTTCTTTATTCTTCCTTATTTTTTTTTTCTCTCTAATTCTCTTTCTCTGCTCTTCATTCAAGCGAGCCCCAGGGAGAGGGAGAGCGTCGTGACGGCGTGGACCAGTGCAGCGCCTCGGCTGGGGCGGCGTTGCGCGGTCGTGCGCAAGGGTCGAGGCCAGCACGACGCGGCGGAGGTGGCGCCCGAGCTGGAGGGTTAGGTGGTGCCGGCGGGGTTGGGCGGCGTCAGCGCGCACGCAAGGACGGCCGGGCTCAGCGGGCGCGACCACGCCGGGAGCGCAGCGGCTCCGGGCCGGATTTGGGAGGCTGGACCAGATGGCGCGAGGCGGCCGCCAACGGCGACGCGGCGAGGCTCAAGCCATCGCAGCGGGCGCTCTTCTCATGCATGGACCTTCAGCACCTGCAAACCCGATGCTGAGCCCAACAACGATGCCCAATAACAATGTCGTAGCGGGTATGAGTGGGGACAAGGGTAGATCGGGCACGCCGTGCGGCAGTGATGCGGCGGCGGCGGCGGCAGTGGAGCTGAGTTGCTATCATCAGGAGCAAGGGATGCATAGGCATTAGCAGCAGCAAGGTGTGGCAGTGCAGAGTAGCGTTGGGCCGTTGTTTGTCTTCGTCGTCTTTGTCTTCGTCTTCACGCAGTGGAGGCTGTCGGTGCATCACCCGCCGCAGGCGTTGGGGTCGGCGGGAGGTGGTGGTGGGGTTGCGATGATGATGAGCACGGAGCCACGGAGGAGAAGTTTGTGGCAGCGCTGCGAATGGTGGAGACGGAGATGGAGGCGGCAGCGAGGGCGGTGCCGGTCGCCGTCGTGGTCGGAGTTGGCGCAGCTATGCGGGAGCTAGCGACGGCGAGGCTTGTGGCGAAGGTGTTGCTGGATGTGGGGCCCACATTGGATTCATTTGAGCCAAGGGCAAATTTGTCTTTAATGATTGTTTCTCTCTCCTATTCCTCCGAAAATAATAAAATAATGTCGCGGGTGTCCAGCAGCTAATTACCAGTTTTTTGCGATGCCCTACAGCAAATACGCGTTTTTACGGTGTCCCCTAGCTAATTACACGTTTTTTAGATGTCCTGTAGCAAATTTTGCCAAGAACATTAGCATTGGTGATCAGCAAAATTGGCTTTATTTTTAGTGACTTCGATTTCTATAGATCAGTGCAGGATAGAAACAAATCTGGAGCAGATATGAATGATATCTTTTTCAATGACATTATCAGCTCCCTTGGCTTGCTTGAGATCCCTCTTAAGGGTAGAAAATACACATGGAGTAACACGCAACAAAACCCTCTTCTTGAAAGGTTAGATTGGGTGTTCACTTCAGCTCCATGGACCTTGGCTTTCCCAAACACTACAGTGGTGCCTTTAACTAGAAATATCTCTGATCATGTGCCATGTGTAGTGAAGATTGATACAAAAATTCCAAAATCCCCTATTTTTAGATTTGAGAATTATTGCGTGCAGATGGAGGGATTTTTTGACATTGTTCAGCAGGTCTGGTCTTTGGATCCAGGGTTTGAGGACCCTGCTAAATGCATTTCTTTTAAGCTTAAATTGCTAAGAAAGAGATTACTTGCATGGAGCAAAAATCTGTCCAAATTACTGTTGCTTCTGACCAACTGTAACAAAGTGATTGATTTTTTGGATTTGGTGGAAGAAACAAGAATTCTCTCAGTCTTTGAATGGAATCTAACAGAAATTGTAAAAGTGCAAATTCTCAAGTTGCAGGAATTTAGAAAGATCTATTATTAGAAGAAGAGGTGCACTAACAGGTGGATGATGCTTGGAGAGGAAAATACTAAATTTTTCCAATCTATTGCAACTGAGAGATACATAATCAATGCAGTGTCACAAGTTTTGGATCAAAATGGGTAGATTGTGCAGCTACATGCACAAAAGGCATCTCTTTTTCTTCACAGTTTTAAGAATAGAATGGGAGTTACAGCTGGTCCTCAAATGGCCTTTGATTTGAGTACTCTCTTCTCCCGAAGCACAGATTTGGAATGTTTGGTGGACATGTTTTCCACACAGGAAATTGACAGTCTTATATCCATTGTCCCAGCAGATAAAGCGCTTGGACCAGATGGGTTCAATGGTTTCTTTATGAAAAAATGTTGGCATATAATAGCTCAGGACTACTACAGATTGGCATCTCATTTTCATGCTGGATGCACAATTTGGAAATCTTGTAGTTCTTATATAACTTTGGTTTCAAAGAAGAATTCACCAGAGACGGTCAATGATTACGGACCTATATCTCTTATGGGGCTCAGTTTAAAGTTCCTAACCAAGCTAAAGGCAAACAGACTTCAAGGGGTAATTCTCAAGCTAGTAAGTGAAAATTAATATGGTTTTATTAAGGGAAAGACAATACAGGATTGCCTTGCTTGGTCTTTTGAGTACATCCATCAGTGTCAGCAATCGAAGAGGGAAATTGTTTTTTTGAAATTGGACTTTGAAAAAGCTTTTGATACTATTGAACACTCTGCTATTCTTTCTGTCCTGCAACATATGGATTTTCCTGAAAAATGGATGCAATGGGTGCAAATGGTTTTCTCTTCAGCTTCTTCTACTGTTCTGTTAAATGGTGTTCCAGGAAATTCTTTTAAATGTAGGAGGGGTGTAAGACAAGGTGATCCCCTATCACCACTTCTTTTTGTCCGTGGAGCTGAGCTGTTACAGAGAGTAATGAATAAAGCTTTTGAGTTGGACTTAATCTCTAAGCCAATTAATGAAAATGATGGGAGTGGGTTCCCTATCATACAATATGCTGATGACACCCTGATCTTACTCAAAGCTTCTCAAAAGGAAATCTTCTGTTTCAAAACTATCCTGAACATGTTTGCACAGTCCACGGGTCTAAAGGTGAATTTTAACAAATCCAGTTTGTATCCTTTGAATCTTTCTCATGACAATGCTTCTTTGCTCGCTGGTATTTTGGGATGCTCCATTGGTTCCTTGCCTTTCACTTATTTGGGGTTGCCTCTTGGTACCACTAGGTCTAGAGTGGTTGATTTTGCACCATTGGTGGACAGAGTAGAAATGAGATTGACAGCAAGCTCTATGTTTTTGCCTCAATGGGGAAGGTTAACATTGATTAATTCAGTTCTTTCTTCTATTCCAACTTATTATATGTGCTCTTTGCAACTTCCAGTCACTGTCATAAAGGCAATTGATACAGCAAGGAAGAGTTGTCTTTGGAGAGGCAACAACCCATCCTCAACTAGAAAAGTTTTTAGCTTTTTGGGACAGAGTATGCACACCTAAAGATAAGGGAGGTATGGGTGTGATTAACCTGAGAGTTCAGAACATTGCTTTGCTTTTCAAGCATATGGTAAAATTATATAATGGTGTTGAGCTGCCATGGGTGAAACTGATCTCACAGACTTATTATGTTTCTAGAGTACCCCATCTGGTTTTGAACAAGGGTTCTTTCTGGTGGAGGGATATCACATCTCTTTCAGATATTTTCAGGGGTATAGCTAAGTGTACAATTCAGTCAGGTGCAACTGCCCTTTTTTGGAATGATCTATGGAATGATGATTTTAAGTGCACAAGCTACCCTAATCTGTTCAGTGTGACTTTGTATAAGAATGATTCAGTTAGGACCATGTGCCTACGGCCAATGGAGGACTCTTTTGTTCTTCCCCTCTCAGATGATGCATGTGGAGAATTTTTGCAACTGCAAGAGGAATTGAATCATCTGCAGCTTCAGCTAGGAAGAAGTGATGTTTGGAGTTTTATTTGGGGAACAGGTATATACACAGCCAAGAGATTTTACAAGCTCAATTACTCTTCTTTGCAACCTCCTAGGCCCATGATTTGGCTGTGGAAACCAAATGTGTCATGAAGATTGTTCGCATGGCTTCTGTTCTGTGATAGACTTAACACAAGGGATATGCTTGACAGAAGGCTTTGTGCAAAAGAAGATGATGATCTCACATGTGCTTTATGCAATACACACCACCAGACTTCATCTCTTCTTCACATGTCCTTTCAGTATGGCTTGTTGGCAATAGCTAGGCATTCATTGGGATTGTAATTTGGAATTCTTTCAGATGATTGTTTTGGCAAGAATCAGGTTTGCACAAAGGGGTTTCCTTGAGGTTTTCTTTCTGGCAACATGGCATATTTGGAAGCAAAGAAATGGGCTAATTTTTCAGAATATTCAGCCTTCATTCCAATCATGGAAGTCTTTGCTTATGAAAGAAGTTCTTCTGCATATGTACAGAATGAAAGATCCTCTCAAGCAATCTCTTTTTGATTGGTTGCAAACTTTATAGGATTGCTGTTTTTGCAGTTTTTATTTATCCCTTTGTAACTTTGTACATATTTTTTGATCT